CCTCCACGGGCTACTGTTCAACCAGCCCTCCACGGGGTCCTGTTCATCAACCCTCCACCGGCTACTGTTCATGGAGCCTCCACGGGGTCCTGTTCATCCACCCTCCACCGGCCTCCTCGATCGGGGTCCTGTTCATCCAGCGGCAACGACCTACTACTACCACGGGGTCCTGTTCATCCAACCCTCACCGTGAACTGTTCATCCAACCCCAACCACGTACGTCTCGACTCGTTCAACCAACCCTCACGATCACTGTTCATCAAGAGGCAGCAGGTTCGATCGGCTTCAGTTAGTAGCAGTAGCGACGGGATCCCTCGATCGGGTTCAGTTAACAACCAAGGGATCGATCGATCGCTCGAGTTCAGTAACGTAGCTAGTGCAATCGCTCGGGTTCAGTAAGCGAACGCCTCACTCGGGTTCAGTTAGAGCTCAACGCCTCGCACACACGCGTGTTCGTGTACGAGAGAAACGTGCAATCCCTTCGTGCATCGCTTGGCCCCGACCACCCACCGTAACCGGGAACTCCCCAAAATTTCCTCGCCCTCGCTTCTACCATGATTTTTTCCGTCATGGACGGCCCAAAGAATGTCATGCAGGTGCGTCTCCGGCCCGCCCAGGACGAAAAGCTCATTTTCTGTCATGATTTTTTGTCATAGAAGTAGGAGCCCACCACATCTATGATGGTACCGGGTTTTGTCACAATTATCATCGTAGAAGTGTCATAAGCATGACAGAAAAAAATCCGTTCGGCCCAAAATGTCACGGATGTGTCTTTTTTTTAGTGAACACGCACACCCAAAAACCTTGCGAAATGTATAATCAGGAACTTCATTTAGCAAGAGTTCAAGTGGTGTTTTCATCTGACGGAGTCGTGTAGGAAGCATGTAAATGAGGAAACAGGCGGTGGAGAAAGCATCACTCTAAAACCGGAAAGGGACGAAGGCACGAGCAAGCAAGGCGAGGCCAGTCTCAACTATATGGCGATGCTTGCGCTCAGCTACACCATTTTAGTGATGTGTATGAGGACAAGACACACGATGCATAATTCCAAGCTTATTAAAGAATGCATTGAGGTTATGGTACTCACCCCCCCCCCCCAATCGAATTGCACATGAATGATTTTGTGACTGAGCAGATGCTCAACATGTGCTTGGAATTGCAAGAAAAATTAAACACATCAGACTTGCGCTTGAGAAGATAAAGCCAAGTGAACCAACTATAAGCATCAATAAAACTGACATAGTAATTATGACCACTAACAGAGGTTTGGGCATGGCCCCATACATCCGAAAACACAAGTCCAAGCGGTTTATTGACTACACGACTCGACTCAGAAAAAGGAAGCTGATGACTCTTTCCTTGTTGACAGGCATCACATACTGCATCAACATGTTTATTGGACACAACTGGGAGCTCATGACGATGAAGTACATGGCGAACAATGGGAGTGGCAGGATGACCAAGGCGCGCATGCCAATGTGATGAAAACACACGAACACCACTGAAAGCACAAGGAGCTGGTGGCACACCAAGTGCATAAAGACCATTAGTGCGTAGTCGACCTCTAAGAAGTACGTCCCTCATGTCCCGGTCCTTGACAAAAAAATGAAAAGGATGAAATTCAGCAGAACGTTATTGTCAAGAGTAAGTTTAGAAACTGATAGCAAACTACGTGAAACAGAGGGAACTCGAAGGACATTAAGTAGACACAATTGTCTAGATCGATGAGTGAGAAGTGAAGCCTGGCCAATATGTGAGATGTGCATACCTTCCCCATTAGCGGTGCGAACTTGATCATGTCCGCGATACGGCTCATGTGTAGAGAGCTTGCCCATCTCACTCGTCAGGTGATTGGTAGCTCTCGTATCCATGTACCACGATGCATCAACAGGATAGGAAGGAGTGTGTCCCTGCTCATGACTCGCCAGGGCAGCCTATTCCCAATCCCCAAAAAATCCTGCTTGAAGCAACGATGACAACGGGAAGCAAGGTGGCCATCAAGCCCACATAGCCGGCAGGGGACCTGAGCACCACATGAGGGGCAGCAGGCACGGACTCGGCCGCCCGCGGAGGTGGTGGAGTTCCGCGAGTTGGGCGCGGCCGACGGAGGTTTGCCACCAGTTGGTGGCTTGTAGGGCTTGCCCTTCCCACGCATTGCAGCGTTGGCAGAAGGGAAACTCGATGTAGAGCAGCGAGCCTGAATGCATTGTTCCGTGGCAAAGAGACGCGCGTACAACTCACACGGCTGGATGAGAGTGTCACGACCATTGATATTCTCCACCAAATTATCATAGTCGTCACCCAGTCCATTGAGCACATAAGAGGTGAACTCCTCTGGACTAAGAGCCTAGCAGATGGAGGCAAGTGTGTCAGCCATACCCGTCACCTTATTGAAGTAGTCGATGACGGTGAGCACGCGCCTGGGACTGCGAAGCAAAACTAGTATGAAGAGCTGTCCACGCGTCCCAAGACGTAGCGGCGAAGATGACCAGCAACAAGACTCCCTCCATGAGGGAGGACTGAATAGCAGAGAGAATGGCTTGATCTTGGGCCACCCAAGCATGATGCGCCGGATGATACGACGAAGGGCACGGTAGTGTACCATCAACATAGCCCTCCAAATATCGACCGCGAAGAAGCGGCAGTACTTGAGCACGCTCAGGATCAGGTGCGCAAAGTAAAACGACGTAGTAGGCACAACAGGGTCCGAAGATGGCGGTGGCGCATAAACACTCGGGTGCACGGAAGAAGCCACCAACTCCGTCGATGGACCACCGTAGGACGTCGGGGTCGTCGGGTAGGTGTACGCCAATGGGCAGAGGGGTCGTAGGGCGCTGTCAGCCACAGGTTGGCCGTGGCAGCGCCGGGGTTCGGCGGTGGCGCTGAAGCGGCGTAGGGGGGCGACGCTAGTGGATGGCGGCGGCTGCTGGACACGGTATGAGGTGGCGCCCGGGGCCGGCGGCTGCTGCTGGACGCCAAGGGAGGTGGCGCCGTGGGCCGATGGCGGCATACGGCCACCGGGGTTGGCCGCGGATGGAGCACCGTTGGGCACGGGAGGCCCATAGGCGGAGCCCAGCCAGGAGGCGGGGACGGGATGATGGCGTCGTAGCATTGCGGCGAGGCGGCGGCATCACCGAATCCTGGAGGAGGCAGCGGTGACCGTGGAGGCGGCGGCCTGGAGGCACCAGCCATGAAGACCAGCGGGCGAGACAGAACAAACGACGGCGGCGGCTAGGGCAAAGGTGATTGGGACGAGGGCGGAAGACATTGATCATAAACCTAAACCGATACCACGTAAAACTTAGGGTTGTGGGAAACTGAACGACACCCTGTTATTATTATTATTTTGCGGGGAACGGCACCCTAATACGGGTGTGGCTCTTTATATATATAGGGATACACAATGTGTATAAATACAATATACATTTACGTACAGAAGCTCTATGTAAATATACAGTCTAACACCCTTCAATAAAAAAAAGGTGTCGTGGCTTTAGTTCAGCTTTAGCTCAAATTTGAACTAAAGCCACGACACTCTTTTTGGAACGGACGGAGTAATATATTAGCTAAAACATTATTCCTTTAGTTTAGAAGAATTTCATAGGAATTTTAAAGGATAAGATTCTTATAAAAAAATTTCCTTTAGAGCCCTTTGGTTCATAGGAATAGATTCCTATTCTTACATAGGATTGGTTCCTATCCTTCACATTTCATAAGAAAATAAAAAAGAGTCTAGACTCAATGAAAAAAATCCTTTGGTGTCAATCAAATGACATCTTGTTTCCTATTCCTACTCATAGGATTTGAGATACATGTCATTTCATTTCCTACAAGATTTCTATTCCTATGATAATCCTATCCTATGAACCAAAAGAGGCCACGTATATTACTACAAAGGAAAATGGTTCTGTGCTCCTAATAGTTAATTTACCTAACTAGTACTACTATTTTCTTTTGTTCGAGCATACAGTATAATAGTATATGAACAAAGTATGTAACAAACATTTCAGCAAAGCAACGAATGGGATTTTCTTTGCCGAGCTTATGCCATTATCTGTCCACTCTATGGTAATTTTTTGTAAACTCATCCTCTATTTTCTTTCTACAAATGACTACGATCTACGAAACATCCAGATAAGAGTTGCTTCACCAGCCAATCCCACAAGGAAAAGACTACTGAACAACAAGCATACAACACAAACGAACGAAAGAATGGCTGAATTATTATTTAGGTACTAATAAAGGGCCGGAGACCATCGCCATCCATATCTATCTACCATTCAAGACGGCAAGGCATTCTTCTTCAATGCCTCTATATCCACTGGCCACTGCATTGCATTCCTCTCTCCTCTTCTTCCTCAACCCGATGATGCCTTGGGGCGCAATGCTGCTCCGACGTCGATCGTCGCATTGCAGTTGGGGTGGATGAACCAAGTGTTGCTGCAATGCCTATCGTTCACGTTTCTGAGAACTCCCCGAATATATTGAGGCATCCGTCCCAGCGTCCTTCGTCCCTTGCTTCCCAGTACCCACCTTTGTAATGATATGCCCCGTCCTCTGCGTCCTGCTCGAACCATCGAGGCTTCCAACCATTGTCTTGAAGTTTAGTCGACTGTGACGAAAATAGATATAGTGAAACTGCGTGGCAAGTGATTTATACTAGCTAGTACCAACTTTCTCAGACAGACAGCAAGCGAGGGAGGAAGAGATCATACCATTCTTTGCCGCCGTTCCAACCTCAACTTCTCTGTATTTGCCTTCTCATACTCACCGTTCTCTAAATGCCGCTGGTCTGGTCTTAGCCGTGAATCAGTAGGGGGGAGTTTCTCCTTTACCATGGTCAAAAAATTACGTTATTTAGGTCTTCACAGAATATTATGGATTATGGAGTATTTACGCACATAGATTACAACCACGCCAATACCTGAAGCTCTGGGGTCAGCTCATTCAATGTGATCGCAAAAGAAGATAGATTGTAACGAGTTGGGTTGGGAGAAGGCTTGTTCTTTTCCCAAAGTAGGGAGGCACCTTGCAATTGATCGGCGCTCTTGACCTTGGAAGTATCTAAATTTGTATAGTACATACTTTCGTCCCATTTTCCTATTAAAAATGAAGCCTTCTTTCCATCATTGTCCTCCACGAAGCCTTGTACCTTAGGAAATTAAGGTGTATGCAAGGAATGAACAGGGATCCACCAGAAACAGTTACACATTCACAAATTCAAATAGGGGAAAACTGTTTACAATAGCATTCAGGCTAAACAGCATGGCTGTAATGTGTAATACCCCTACTTTAATATGTAAGCACCCCATTACAAGCTGTCGGATCATCATGAGAATGAAATAGTTTCATCGTATCTACACACATTTGGTCAATTAATAATTCTAGCAAAATTGATTCTAGAGTTCAGGGCAGGGGTCTGTAACCTTGCATTGAAAGTTTGGACGGGATATTTACACGACCTATTCCTTAAATAAAGTGATACAGGAACGTGCTTTGCTCATTAAATCCATGAAAACTACGCATTAACTATCCATATGTCTGCATCGTAGTCCAAGTAAATATGCTACACTAGGCCACGTACGGTATGACTAACACAGATTGGTCAGAAACTCAGGAGGTACTGTGCTCAGAGGAATACAAGGTGCTAATCACATCTCTCACGATAAAATATGAGATGACCTGTAAAAAAAGGAGGCAAAGAAAAACATACTAGGTGAGGATTGCGGTCAAGCAGCGATGGCTCTTTGAACTTGAGTTTACATGAATACTGCCGATTCCCCTTTATGTGCATAATTCCATGATGGTTGCAGTACAGCTTCCCAAGAATGAGGTTATTAATAGTTGTTGTCACCTGAAAACGCATCAGCATGTGACAGGCAGAATTCAGTTTTGAATATAGTTCCAATCCGTGAGTGTCCCGTCTTATCATGCCACCCACCTTACTCCACTTGAAGATTTCACCGTCATCAAATTCCACTGTCAAAACGCCAACAGGATCAACTTGAATTGACTGCCCCCAGAACTTGGATTTTACATTGCTGTCGCCCCAGAATTTCCAGCCCTTGCCTTCAGAGTGGCAGGCAATCAGCATTGGATGATGACTAACCTATCCATGCAAATGATGAACAGCAACATGCTGCAATTAAAAGCCTCGCAAGCACAGTTTCAGACTATTAAGATACCAATGTTCAGTTCCCAAATTAACAAAAGAGGCTATTAAACAGAAGAAATTGCATGATTTTGGACACAAATATACTCCAACAGCTTTTGACTAAACAGACTAAGTAAAACAGAGTTTTTTGCATAAGTAGAAGAAAGAATACTAACTGACCTTCTCGGCAAAAAAGCGGATCCTTCTATCAGGAAAATCAGCTTCATAAGTCTCTCCTAACAATGGATTGAATGGTTTGCAAGGTCTCGCGACAGATGAAGCATAGCCAGAGATCGCAAAAGCAGCTACTTTCAGGATTCTCATGAGGCTATTCCCCTAAATCAAATGCAATAGATACATGAGTAAAATTTGTAATAACACTTCACAACCTCAGCACATGGAAATTTCAAATCAGAAGAAAACTACTCCCTCTGTAAACTAATATAAGAGTGTTTAGATCACTACTTTAGTGATCTAAACGCTCTTATATTAGTTTACGGAGGGAGTACCAGATAAAAAATACAATATGTACAAAGACAAATATCCACTGATCTGTGTTACTAGATAAACTGCCCCATTCGTAATAAATTTGTGGCAGAACTCAATCAACGTTAACACTATTCCGTAATCAATGTTAACTCCCATGTGGCCACAAACAAGAAAAGCAACTGGTGACTACTGTTACTGCTCCGAAAACACTCATCATAAAACAGTTGAATATCCTAGAAATTCAAGACCATAAACGTATAAGTGATCTTACCACTTTTCCATATTCATAGGCTTGATCCAGAAGGTAGGAATATTCGAAATCTTCAAAGCACTTTTGGAGGGATGAAAGTGGCTCGTTGAAGTAAACTGGAAGGCATACTCGTGTCAAATCCTTGCCAACACTATCTTTAATAATGGACCAAAGGCTGATTCCTTTCTCTTTCTCAGTAGGTTCTGGTAGTTTACTCCGTCGTTTGATTTCAGGTAGCATGTTGTTAGAATCTTGAATTTGGATATCCACAACTTCTTGGCCACCTGGATTATCTATGTTAGTAGCACTGTGTACACCACAATCTGTGGAATCTGACATTGTTGAAGATCTGCTGTTTGATTCTATGAAGTAGTCTGCAGCATCAAAGAATGTAGAGTCCTCTTCACAAGTCAATTCACCACCATCTTGCTTCTCAAATTCATCAGATTCTGTTGTGCTATATTCTGGGCAAAAAACAAATCACTGGATCATTAGAAAAGCTAATGCAAGAGCATGGGATAACTCAGGCATGCTGATTATAGGCGATGGTGTAGTAAACTTGCAACAGCTTCCGGAAAAATAAAACTTGCAGCAGTTTCCATTAAAAATAACTTGCAACAGTTTCTTTACTTTCTTTAGGAAATAAGGCAGCACATCCAAATAATTCAGACAACTAAATGAGAAAGGTTAAAAAAGCATCCAACAGAGACAGTTGAAAGAAGGACGCAAGCACCACATAAGTAGATGCATGCAGCTAACACAGTGCAGTAATTTGATTAGTATGTGTTAAGAAATCATACCACTGAAATTTCCATGCCGGGAACTAGAAAATTCATTTTTTGTCAACGCCCCCTGTATTATATTTCCATCTTTACCTTCCTGCACAAATAGGTGTGTAATACACTATGTAAAATTCCTGCAGGAAAAAAGAGCAGAGTAACCTTTCAAGGAGAGTAACCTTTGCAAAGTTAAGTAAAAGGTTCCATATGAGATTTACTGATAAGCAAAAACATATGACCAATAAGCATATGATGTAGCTCCACTATTTAGGTTCAGGCATTAGCAGTTCCTGCTACCTATCAATTCCATATAAGCATTTTCTCTTAGAATTGCATGGCCTCAAAAGAAACACACGCAGCCATTCTTACCTCGAAATGGTGTCTGCTAGATCCGAACAAGCTTAGATGATCGTCATAGCGTAGCTTCAGTTGCTTTCTGTAGCTTGAAAACTCCGAAAGCATAATCTGTTCGCAGTCCTGTATAAGACTCTCGTTTAAACCATCCTGGTGCATCCGATTTCGAAGCCTTGCAGTGGAAACTGAAACATCACTCTGCACAAAAGTTATACTTCCACTGAGTGACCTGAGCGAATAAACACTCCTCGCCAAGATCAAGGCCTCGATCCAAGCGACACGGTCATCTTTCGAATCTGTCTTCAAATGAAGTGTCTTTGTGGGAGAAAATATGTAGAATCTCCTGTCGTCGGACTTGCTCTCACGAAATGCGGACACCTAGAGACATGAGAACAAATTAGCACCACCATGTTACTCACAGGGAAACGTTGCACATGGAAATGAAGAGAACCTCCTGATACGAGACGCTACTTGTCAAGGCCAAAGATGGAGCATATACAAAGGCTGGAATCTATCGAACTAATAGATGAGGGCTTCGATGTTTATTCCGTTAACAACCAAGAGGCAGACAAAGTAGAGGACAAAAAGCAGACACAAGAAAAATGACTTGGTATTCCAAGAGAAATCATGTGATTCGGTTCCCTCCCTCTACCTTCAGCTTCAATTAAAGGGTAAAGGAAGGCAAGCAAAGGAGCATCTAACAGTCAACAAGAAAATATTTGGGGATGAGAGGGGGTGAGGGGGATCGAGAAAATAGGAGAACCTAGCAAACGACCTATGCAGCCCTTGAAGGTCCACGAGGTCCCCCTAATTCAATCCAAGTTGCACACAGGTCCCCCGTTTTAGTCCCTCTACCTCTCTATGTGACCACTTAATTTCAACTGTACATCCTTGAATTCCTGGGACCCATGTCCAATTGTATTGAAAAGACCCGGTGCTAGCCAGTACTTCTACTACTGCGGGTGCAGCGGCAGCAGCAGCAGCTAGTAAAAGGGGCTCGTGGAAAAGCAACCTCAGGACCAGTACAAGCCAATAATGCAAAATTCAAAATTGCAACAAGAAATTCCCTGAGCATATACTCCCACCTCTTCCCTCAGATTGTTCGACTTGATGATACTATTAAAGATTAACCATGTCACTATTGGACCACTTCTGCCATGAAAGTAATAAGACAGGGACTAGCGGCTAAAGATCATTGTCTTTGCAGCGGTAGCAACTAGCAAATGACATCATTATCAGAAGCTGCAACACACAAACCTTAGAAATTTGACCAAATCTGTGGAAAGTACAAGGGCTCCATGTCCATAGATGTGCCTGTGGCTGCGTGATAGAGAAAGCTAGCTATGGTCTCTTTTTTTGGGGAGATTACACTTGAGGGGGAGAAAAATAGCAAGGCCTTTTTGTTCACTTGTGGTTAAGCTAGATAGGGCTAAATTTGGACAAGAATTTGCGGGTGGCACTGGACCACGGAAATGGTGACTGGTTAATATAAAATCCAACCTGTTGATAATGAGCAATTGGTATAAAACTTAAAATGTCCATCCAAATCACGAACAAACCACAGATCGGTTAGAAACCTGCGTCGAAACACAAAGACTTTTCAAGCATTTTGATTGATTCCCTGATCACCTCTATTAAGCACCGACGAGAAAAAACATCGGAAATTTCAAAGAGACAGGACATGAGATGAATAGTTTGGTACGACGATGCACCGCCGGCAAAATGACAAGGCATATCACGTCACTTCGATCCAGCGCAATGACGCGCTCTCCCACCAACCATTTCATCATAAACAAGGCGAAAGCGCGTTCACCGATGCAAGAACTGGGAAGGGATTAACTAATAAACCTCGGGGAATCTGAGCATTTGATCCAGGGGCGCAATGCAATGCGCCAAACGAATCACTGGATCGAGGGATCAGCGCAAGAAAGTTCAGAAGAAGAAAAAATCGCATGGAGTAAGAGACGGGGTTGAAACGATCGATCAGAAATGTGGAGGAAATCTGAAGAGGAAATGGAAACAGAATCTGCCCCCAGCCCCACCACGAGGCGGGTGCACACGGACGCCACAAGGCGACGAGGAGAGGAGAGAAGGCAACCACCGACCTTGAGGCAGACGACTCCGACGGGCTTCTCCGGGCGGCGCCCCCCGTCGATCCTCGCGGACGCGCCGCCGATCAGCCTGACCTCCCCGTCGTCAGCGATCCGTCCGGCCGCCTCCCCGCCCCCCGCGTCGGCCCGAATCTTGGAGTAGGAGAGCACCCCGTCGCGGAGCGAGAACCAGCGCTCCCGCCACCCGCGGCCGTAGTTGGTCCACTTGTGCAGCACGCCGGCCACCGCTACCGACCCCGGCACCTGCGTAGCGGTGGCCGCGGCGGGCTCCGGTGCCGGCGTGGGCGACGCTTCGGGATGTTGCGGTGCGGAGGAGAGGCAGCAGAGCGCGTGGTGGTGGTGGTGGTGGTGGTGGTGGCTGCTGCTGTGCGTCATCGTCGTCGGCTCGACGACGGCGAGGGGAGAGAGGGGGGGACGGGACGCGACGCGACGCTTAATTTAGGAGCGGTTGGATGCTATTTATGTGTGGGTCACTCTGTCTCGGTGGGTGCTGTGCTCTCCTTTTTCCTCTTGCTCTTTCTTAATTACTTATTGAAATACTTAATATAAGATCGTTTAAATAACTAATATAATAATAGAAACGATCTTATATTTTTTTCTTTGTAAAAGGGAAAAGGAGTACTTATTACTCCCTCTGTAAACTAATATAAAAATATTTATAGAATACTAATGTAGTGATTTAAACGTTTTTATGAAAGAATACTAATTTATCTTTTTTTTACTATAACTATATTCTATATCCCCTGAAAGGTCTCTTTGATACAAAGAATCCTTCCTAAGTTGTTTGTCGTTTGATTCATAGGATTCAAACTATAGAAAAAAATTAATGGAATCATTTGTACTACATTCCATGAAAAACCTAACATGGGCTCCAATCTCTTAAAAAAAACCTTTCTTTCATGTGATACAATCAAACAAACAAAAATTCCATGGGATTCATTCTTGTATATTTTTTACTCATGTGTTTTTTTACAATTTAGTGACTCAAAAAGGCATCTACACTGAATAATTACATGGATTATGCCCCTCCCCCCCCCCCT